AGGTGCTGCATACGCTGCTGAAAAAGCCAACACAGTTCTAGGCTGCATAAACAGAGGGATGGAATCAAGATCACTTGAAGTGTTAATACCAATTTATAATGCCTTGGTAAGACCACACTTGGAATACTGCATTCAGTTTTGGCCACCACGATGTAGAAAAGATGTGGAGATTCTAGAAAGAGTGGAGAGAAGACCAACAAAGAAGATTAGGGGACTGGCGGCTAAAACATATGAAGAACGGTTGCAGGAACTGGGTATGTCTAATGAAAACAAGGACCAGGAGTGACATGATAGTAGTGTTCCAATATCTGAGAGATTGCCATAAAGAAGAGGGAGTCAAACTATTATCCAAAACACCCGAGGATAAAACAAGAAGCAATGAGTAGAAACTAATCAAGGAGAAAACCAGCTTAGAACTGAGGAGAAATTTCCTGATAGTTAAAACAATTAATCAGTGGAACAGCTTTTCTCCAGAAGTTGTGAATGCTCCAACACTGGAAGTTTTTAAGAAGATGTTGGATAACCATTTGTTTGAAGTTGTGTAGAGTTTCCTGCCTAAGCAGGGGTTGGATTAGAAGACCTCCAAGGTCCATTCCAACTCTGTTATTCTATTCTATTTTCAGTATGGGCATCAAGATTTCACATTTGATCAAGATGAATGCTATAGGTAAAGGTTCCCCTCGTACATATATGCTAATCGTTCCCGACTCTAAGGGGTGGTGCTCATCTTTGTTTCAAAGCCGAAGAGCCAGCATTGTCTAAAGAAACATGCTAGTCTTGTGGCCGGCATGAATGATATGACTTCTTTTTAAATGTAATTTTATTTAATTGCGGTAGTACCAACCAATATAGTAATAGTACACCAAATGTAAAAGATTGTATATAAATAAATTCTTTGCTTCAAGTAGGAGCTTGTATTTTTTTTTCTTTAACTAAGTGGTATTTGTGAGAGCAGCATGAAGTGCATCACATAATTTTAATAAAAGCAAAATTAGAAAGTTTGTTAAACTGTTGTGCGATTCCATGCATTAAGGCATATCTTTAACATTATCCAATCACAGCCTTCCACAGTCTCCCAAATATTCACCCAGGGAACAATTTCGGATTATTCAGAACTTCATTGGCATGGTACCCAACGGGCAACAGATAGTGGAAGAGGTGAGTGAAACTAATTGTATATTGTTCCTTTAGCCTCGGTGATCTTCTTGTGCTTCATTGCCCCTTATTCCCATTGAGGGTAATTAATGTCTCTGACAGAGTTACTTGTCTCAATCTGTGACAGCCTCTGATAAAGATTGGGACACTCTACAAATTGAGCAGACGAACACAGAAGTTACACAGACAAATTCAGGGTGCCTTCTTTAAATGAAGTATCATGTAGTTTATGTGTGTGTGAGAGAGATTACAATTCTCTGTGTTTGATTATATTAATTGTAGGAGATGACTATGCAGAGCCCGAGCTAGGGTCAAATTCATCATCAGTCATGAGTCCCTGCATGGACACAAAGAGACCTAAGTCCAGCCTATCTTGAATGCCTCCTTAATTCCCGCTCATTTCCCTTGACCATTAATAGCTCAGATTCTTGTACAGAGCTTAAGGTTGCAATAAATCTTCATGCTCATTTGAACTGCCTGAATCTCCTAATTTCCCTGGTGTTTGACATTAATGTAGCCAATGAGAAAAAGAGCCTGATTGTACAAAAAGAAATATTGAGTTCTCTCCATTTTGACTGAAAGACAACCTGCCTCAACTCGGATGCTCATCCAGAGGTTTTGGGGACTGCAGTTCCCAGAATTCCGAGTATTCAGAGTTGAAAGAGGCTGTGAGATTGGAAAAAGTTGTCCAAAATAGTGATGTTTTATTGAAGAAACTGTCTGAAGACATGGAAGTGGGTGGTTAGTCTATGTAAAAAGTAAACTAAGATAGAGATCACATTTTGGATGGAAGAGTTATTTAGCATGTATAGCATAATAGTTAATTTGGCCCTGTAAGGGATTAAAATGCTAAAACTCCGTTCCTTCTTCTGATAGTTTTCCTCTATCCGTTTGTCTATTTTTCAGTAAGCTAAAGCTTTTTATGCTGAGGTTTTTTTTCAAACGGACATTTTTCATTTTAGCTGTGCCTTTATGTCAGCATTTTGAGTAAAGGGAAAAAGGAAGGGTGCATTTTTGAGAGGGGGAGAAATTGAGTTTTTCTTCTCCAAACCCATTTAATTTATTCGTATGTCCTATTTCTTAACCACCCATCTCCCACAAAAATGATTAGAAAGTGTCCTCCATTTCTTGAGGTTTTCCCACCCTACTTCATTGGTACAAAATTCTGAAGGTGTACAGAGATTGAAGGTGCTTGTGGTTGCCCATGTCTCATTCCAGTTTTTTAAAAAAATAGATTCCAGGTGATCATTAACAGAGGACACTGATAAAATAGAAATACAATTGAAGAGAATGAAATCCTCTCTCTCAATAGATTTTGACTTTCTCTCTTTGGCCTTCAAAGGTGGATGCTGCCATTGTCTTGTGTTCAGAAATGCATGATGTGAAGGAAGCCATCTATGAATACAAGAGGAAATTGGAAGGGATTGGAGGAGATGATCAAAACCAGGTATTAGTAGTTCATTTTAAATGGTTGACAGGATCCATGGCACTAGGCCTTGGCTTAGGACAGGTTGCTTAGCAACTGTTCAAAGTTATACTGGAGCAGGGGTGGGTTCCAGCCAGCACTACTGCTGGTTCACTCGTGTGCGTGCTTCATGTGTGCGCATGTGCAGTGCAATTAAAATTGTTATGCGCAGAACAAGATGGTGATGTCAATGGTGCCAACTGGGGAACCGGTTTGGGGGCATGGCAGGCCTGGGTCGTTGCTGGTTCCAGTGACCCAGGCCATCAAACCACTACCAGTTCAGCTGAACCGATCCGAACTGGTAGTAATCCACCACTGCACTGGACCTTAAAAAAGGGACTTACACCCTGCTTTCAAAGTTCTGATGTCTGTCTCCCCCACAGTCACATGACTACAATTTTTGACATTTTTGCCAGAAACTGATGTTTACTTCCGGCAAAAACTGCCCCATAGCAAACAATAGGTTTACTTAATGACCATGGTATTCACTTAACCAGCACTATGTTGACTTAACAACCACTCCAAAAATGGTCATAATGAGGTCCGGTCTCATGATATCACCAACATAATTACGACCATAATTGCAGAGCTGAAATGACAGTTGTAACTTGAGGACTTCCTGTAGTAAGTTCGCTCCACAGTGCTCTATGTATTTATACTTCGGATGACTGTTGTGCTTGCGATTTGTCTTCTTCAGACAATGGGGATATCTAACTACAAAGCAATTAGAATTCTTAGGTTTTATTGGAAAAGTGTCATGAATGGTAGATTTACAGATTACAGATACAGGTAGATTACTGATCTTGCAACAGGAGTCCTTCTTCATATATATTGGGGCTGGCAATCTTTGATGTCAAGGGTTGGACTAAGAATTTGTGGATGCCCAAGGCAATAGTGCGATCATAATGCAGAATGGTGGGTCCAAAGTTTAAACATCTGTTTGAAGAATTTGGAATTTTGTCTCTGATTTATACATTTTGCTAAATCTGTTTTAGGATTTAATGCCTTTCTCTCTGAGTATACGCATGTGTGCACATGCTTCCCACCTCAGAAGGCTAGGAACCTATGACACTAGTTTCTAGCAGCTGTGGTTGTGGCAAGAACCACTATAGGAACAGGAATTGGTAGTCCATCTGGGCTATATAGGGTTATCTTCTATTTCCAAAAATCTACTATTATTTAGTTTTCTAATAATAATAATAATCAGATAAAATAATCAGATAAAAATTTAGATATAATTCTTGGCCTTCATGCACATTCATCTGTCTTGTTAAGTAAAGTCAATAGGGCTACAATTGTACAGGCAATGTGGAGGTTGAAGTTGAGAAATTATATCTTGTAATGAGTTCCTTACGGGTTCGAACCAGGCAGATACATTCAAAAGGATCATAGCCAGAAATTTTCTGATGATCTAATCTCCGGCATTTCCAATTAACAATCTCATGTAATAGACAATGGGGAAAAATCTGTTTCAGATTCTGGAGGACTGATGGCAATTTTACTAGATGATGCTGAGTAGTATTGTTTTAAGAAAACACCCTGTCTTAACGTCCAGATGCCTTGAAGTTCACTTCAGCCATTATAAATCAAACCTGGATTCAAGGGAATTAAAGGATAGATAGATTCCCAGGTCAGGAGGAGTTGTTTTGTATCCTTGTTATGATTAACAGTGCAGTTTTTTTCAAGTATAGGTAGTCCTCAAATTACGAATACAATTGAGCCCCAAATCGATGTTGCTGAGTGCGGTATTTGTTAAGTCAATTTTACCTCATTTTATGATCTTCCTTGCCACTGTTGTTAAGAGAATCACTGATTTTAGATTAGTAACATGGTTGCTAAGTGAATCTGCTTCCCCCATTGACTTTGCTGGTCAGAAGGTTGCAAAAGAGGAGTATATGATACTGCAACTGTCACAAATTCGAGTCCGTTGCCAAGCTTCCAAATTTTGATCACCTGACCATGGGGATGCTGCAATGGTCATAAGTGTGAAAAATAGTCACAGGTCACTTTGTTCCGTGCTGTTTTAATTTTGGACAGTCCCTAATGAACCTTACAACAGTTCAGGAGACTTATAATTGTGTCAGAGTACGTGTGTTGCTCGTTTATGTAATCCTCAAATTCAGAGATTCTCTTCAGAGAAATGATAAATTTGCTAATTATTTCAACTTGCTGTTTTATTTATTGGCATGCTATATTCTGTGAAGCCTTTCATGCACTTCACTTTTCTTAGCCAACCTGTTAGCTAAAATCACCTGCTTTGTGATTTAGTGACTTGCATTTGATTACCCAAATAAGTTCTTACTTTTACTGTGTATCATGAATATTTCTGTCTGCCAATTGGTTTATTTTTTTATTTTTGTTGGGAGTGAGAGAAGTGGTTTTCTGTTACAACATGTTCCATCATCAAACAGTAACAAAAAGACTTTGTAAAACTGAAAAAAGGAAGTTAAAAGAGAGACATGTGGCTTTAATTCTTCTTTTAAAAGCGCTTTCCTCCTACCATGCCTAAAGACATATAAACAGGATAGACTATAAAATTCTTAAGGTGTAAAAGATGACTATAAACAAAGAACTGTTTGTCCTGAAAGCCAGAAAGTTTTCCACTGGATAAATGTTTATCCAGAATATCACAAAACTATTTTGATTTTCCAAGTGAACTCTTGAGAGTTGAAGATGCAAAATCTTTGCTCTTAATTTTTTTTATCACTGTTGTGATTTATTCTTCTTCCAAGGTATCATGCTTAAAATGGAATTGGGCCTCAGCCTCTGTGCACTGGGCATGAGAAGGAAGTTGTAAAGCCTTGATGGTGAACTTATGCATGCCTGAAGTAGCATGTGGAGCCATGTCGCCTGGCATGCGTGGCATCTCCAGTTCCTCTTCAGGGTTTCTGGTGCACATGTGCATGCGACGATCAGCTGGCTTTCGTGCGTGTGGCAGTGCTGTAAACTGAAGAGCCGATCTTCCATTTTCCGGCGCAAGCATGCGCGCAGGTCAGCTGATCATTGTGTGTGCATGCGTGCCAGTAACTGGAAGACTAGCTGGCTTGTGCGCACCCTGGAACCTGGAAATTCATTTTCCAGTGTGCGTATGCCTTCTGGGCAGCTCCTCTTCTGGATTGTGTCTCCGATGAGTGTGCACTCCCTTTTTGGCACTCGATGCTGAAATGGTTCACCACCACTGTTGTAGAGTGACTATTAAGCCCATCAAGAGAACTTTTTGTATCAGATAGCCCATATGCCTTAGTTAGGTCTTTGTCTTGTTTTTCCTCTCTGGCTTTTTCAGCCTAATTTCATTGTATTGCAGGAGTCAGTAACTCAGTTCCTCAAGGCTCTATGTTCCTGTGACATCCCTTATGACATGCATACAACACCCTATCCCCATTTAATATTTAAAAATGACTGAAATATCATGAGATTGCCAAGTTCTTCAAGACTTTGTTATTGCATAAGGTTGTTCGGGGCAAAATTCTTTTGAAGATTTCATCATTCTTTTATAAGAAGTCTGACACCTCGTAAGCAGGATCTCTAATCTTGAAATAGTTCATCCATTAAAAAAAATATTATTATAATGGATTGACAAGGCGTTGAAAGGATGACTAACTCCTTCAGTACTGTTCTGACCTAGGCTTCCGAAAACCACGAAGCAGACTCCTTGTCCCGACAAAACCCCTTTTTATTAAGCTAATGTGAATTCCTCTCATTCACATCCAGCAATGTCCCAGCAAACAGTCTTTCAAGGCTGAATTCACAGCCACAGACCTTATCAGGCTTGGAGAGCTGCCAGGCCGATATCTTCGCAAGGCTGTACAAGAAAATAATTGTCAAGGTATTGTGTACTAGGACCGTGGGCTATGGCCGGGATGACTGAGGCGGAGACAGGAATAAAGAGGCTAACGAGTTTATTCCTCAATGTAACAAGCTAACAGTGTGGAATCGGCTTCAGACAGGAACAGCGGCTTCTCATCTGACAGCTCCCTTTTTATACTCGGAGCTGTCAGATGGTAAGCCAATCAGCTGTTGAATAACTGCCGCTTAAACACAACTTTATTGAGCATGCTCAGAACGTGACACAAGGAGTCTCTGAGAGTCACGAAGGAATCTTCACACTAATGAAATAAACAAATTTTCCCCTGCAAACTCCACTCCCCTTTCCTCTATTCACCATCTACCTCAAGAGTCGGCCCTTGTTCCTTAACTGTTCCCTTCCCCTGGCAGCTCTACGCATGCGCACATTGGGAACAGGCTCCAGCTGCTCTTCTGCCCCACTGATCTCTGACTCTGAAGGCAGCTGATAACTGTCAGACGGCCCTGGCTCCATCTCTGCCCCCGATGCAGAGCCCTCATCAGAGCCTTCCCCAGACTGGTCCATGTTCCTCCCCAACTTCCTAACTGTCTGAGTCTGCCACCAATCCTGCTGGATGCTGGCAGGCCACAACATGTACAGGATATTTAGTGTTATGTTCCCAACTAACCCTTGTAGTAACTTCGATTGAGAGATGGAGTTATGCTATGGTCAGTTGGCTGACCTTGCCAAGTGATAGGTGAGAGCTTTATTTTAATCAGTGTGAAGAGACTTTTTTTTAGATTCTTAGTCTTGCTTCTGCTTAAGGTGAACAGAGGAAGCTCAAAACTGTTCATCTTTTGCCAACAGTTTGATAAAGTGATTGCATGTCAGGACTGACTCAGGGCCTTCTATCTTGCACAATGAAAGAGCAACTAGCACCACCCCATTTCACATTCAGAAGCTTGACCGGTCACCATTTATACCTATGAACAGTATAGTAAATCCTTTATTTTCATTGTACATCATGTATACAACGAAATTGGTTTTAGTCTCACTGGTGCAATCCATGACAAAAAATACAAACAACATAAATAGTATAAAGAATAATCCCTATCCAAGTAATTGTGGGGCGGGGGGTGTAGAAGCAAAAACTAGTCATACATTTCTGCATGTGCATGGAGTGATTGTGGTTGTGTTTAAGAGCCTGACAGCCCAAGGATAGAAACTATTTTTAAACCTTCATAGCGCTTAAGAATAAGCTCATGAATGAAAGGTTCAGCTACACTGCATACTTTATTCTTTCCACTAGCAGAAAGAAATAAGTAAGGAGGTAAGGAGAAAAAAAATTGGGGCAGGAGGATGGCTGCTTTAGTTGCTGCTTTATTTTGCCTAGTCATAGAGCCAGCCCAAGGGATTCTAAGTTTTATTTAGCCATAGATAAGAGTTTAGGCAGTCATCCATTTTTGAATAAACACCTCACCTGGTTTCAATGGGGGGAATAAAGATAGTATCTACAGGTAAGCCTCACCTTACAACCATTCACTTAGTGACAATTTGAAGTCAGGAGCCACAGTGGCGCAGTGGTTAGAGTGCAGTACTGCAGGCTACTTCTGCTGACTGCCAGCTGCCTGCAATTTGGCAGTTTAAATCTTGCGAGGGTCAAGGTTGACTCAGCCTTCCTTCCCTCTGAGGTGGGTAAAATGAGGACCCAGATTGTTGGGGACTATAGGCTGACTCTGTAGACTGCTTAGAGAGGGCTGTAAAAGCACTGTGAAGCAGAGTGTAAGTCTTATTGCAATTGCTACAGTGACACTGAAAAAAGCGATTTATCGCCGTTTTTCACAATTACAACGGTTGCAGCATGTCCACGATCACATGATCAAAATTCAGACACTTGGCAACTGATTCATATTTATGAGGGTTGCTGTGTCCTGGGGTCATGTGATCTCCTTTTGTGACCTTATGATAAGTAAAGTCGGGGGGGGGAGGGGGAAGATGCCAGACTTACTTAACAATTGCAGTGATTCACTTAACAACTGTGGCAAGAAAGGTTGTAAAATGGGGGAGAACTCACCTAAAAATTTTCTTGCTTAGCAACAGAAATGTTGGACTGAATTGTCATTGTAAGTTGGGTACTATCTGTACTGCATATTACGGCTCCATCCAAACTCCTGAGAGAAAGTAGTTTAGAAACGTGCTAAATAATATTTTCCCCAGATCTGTGAATTATTCGGGACTTAGCCATTTCTTTGGAGAGTAGGTCTAAAGTTACTATCTCTACTGTGATGTGAGATTTTTTTTCCAAGTTGAAATTCACCTGCTGGGGTCCTCTTCTTGTTTGGTTGTTCTGAGCAGTGGTTTTGTGAGAATAATTGAGCTTTTCTTTTGAAGCGATTTTCAGGTTGTCCTCACAGCATGCAGTCTATGTTTTCACCGGCCCTAAAAGATCAGCCTTTGGAAGTCACTTTACTTATAAACACAGTTAATGTTTATATGAAAATCAAGCAGAGGAGCAGCTCTTCTTAAACAATGGAATATTTTTTCTTGAAAAAATATCTTTTTGTCATCCTTGTGAAAAGCAGCAGAACACATACCGGGTTTCCCCAAAAATAAGACAGGGTCTTATTTTCTCCCCCCCAAAAAAGGTGCTTGGCCTTACTTTTGGGGAGGTCCTTTTATTTTTGAGGTGCAGGAGGTGGCAAGCGTGGTCACCTCATGGCTGCTGCTGTGTTGCAATATTTTCAGGGAAGGGCTTATTTTCGGGAAAGGGCTTATTTTAGCGCATGCACTCAAAAGCCCGATTGGGCTTATTATCCGGAGAGGTCTTATTTTCAAGGAAACAGGGTATATCTGTGACACGTGACAGGTCTCTAAGCCAAATGAGGGCTGACAGAATTCTTGCTGTCCTTGTTACTTCCTGGGGCTGCAAAAATTGGAGCAAAATATCCCCACAATTTATTGTTATGCTATCTTTATGTGATAGGTTGTATACAGGTTATGGAGACTTGATGTATACCTAATGCAGTCTTTCTTTAATAAATAAAAGTGAGCTTTATAAAATGCATAATTTATGCATATCTAAATGTACAATAGGATCTCAGTAAATATCTTTTCAAGGGAAACCATAAAGCATGTTACAAATACTTTTTTAAAAAATTCTTTTTGCGGGGGCGGGGAAATATAACTAGGGTAGACTAGCGAAGGTAAGATCAGATACTAAATTATATTTGGGTTTGTGGAAATACCATCCCAAGGAAACATAAACTGAGTTTTGAAATATACACCAACAACAATAGAAAAAGAAGGGAAGAGAGGAGAGAATGAAAGGAAGACAGAGGAAAGAAGAAAGAGGTAAGGAGAGGAGGATGGAAGGGAGAGAAAGAGAAGGAGAGAGGGTAGGAAGGGGATGAGGAAAAGTAGGAGTAGGAGAAAGGTAAGGGAAGAAGGAAGGGGAAGGAAGAAAGTAGAGAAGGGAGGGAAAGAGAAAAGAAAGGAAAAACAAGATGGTGTTACAACAGGAGAAAGGGATGGTAAATAAAGCAACCCAAACTGTATATTATAATTTATTAAATGAAATAATAAATGTATAAGAATGATAAATGTAAAGAAGAATAACAATTATGTGAATGTATACTTAAAATGGTATGTAAGAAATAAAAAAATAAAAAATTCTTAGAAAAAATTAAAAAAAATAAAACTGTTGCAGATCTCTGCATTTGAGAGCAATGAGATTTTAATAG